CAGCTTTTCCACTGATAAGGATGATAACAGAACCAACTTTGCATGTTATTGTAAGGATTAAATAATAGATGTAAAATACTCAGCACAATATCTGTTATATATAAGTAACATTTATCTATAAATATATACATATTTTATTATGTATATGTATCTATACATGTATGTAAATATACACACACACACACACACACACACACATACACACACACATATATACACACACACATTTGAAATTGGGCAAGCAAAGAACTGTGCTGTGTATGAGCTCTTAAAAATTATGAGCTGTGTTCAAGTTGTATTAGGACTGTGCCTTTAAGCTGACAATGAATGTTTTAATGAGCTAAACAATATTTGGCACGTGCCTATATTCCCAGCAGCTCAAGAGGCTGAGGCAGGAGGATCACAAGTTGAAAGCCAGCCTCAGCAAATTAGCAAGGTCCTAAGCAATTTAGTGAGACCCTGGCTCCAAATAAAATATAGAAAGGGCTGAGGATGTTGCTCAGTAGTTAAGACCCTTGGGTTCAATTCCAGATCAAAAAAAAAAAATGTGAAACTCCTTCCTTCTACCATCTTCTTTCTACTTTAGTTTCTCCTCCATTCGTGTTTTCTGGCCTATAGAGGAAAAGGAAGCAAGTAAATGTTTTCCTAGGGCCTGTTCCATGTGGGATGCTGCTGCAGTGAGCATTTCACTTACGCCATAGCCATTTGTTAGCCACAGCCTTTTGATGAGGAATGTATTATTCCTACTTTACTGATGAGAGAAAGGCATCCTGAGTAATTAGCCAAGATTTATATTACTAGGAAATACTGGAACCCAAATTCTAACCACTATTTATGTAATCCTAAAGCCTTCTCCATTTCTTTTATTAACAATTTTACTAGATCTAATATTGTGTTAGGTCCTTATTTATTTATCTGGAATTTCTGGTGCGAGGTAGGACTATGCTAGGAAAAGTAGTTAGCTTCTTAAACTAGGAAAAGTCACTGGTGTTATAAATCAGCCTATTAATCCACAATAAAAATATTGCAATAGATAAGGTCAGGCAAACTGGCTATGTTACAAATCCAGCTCACCACCTGTTTGTGTAAGAGAAGATTTATTGGCACATATCCATTGTTCCACTTACCACCTATGATGGTCTTCATGTTTCAATGGCAGAGTTCAGTAACTGTGACAGAGACTGTATGGCTTTTAAAGTATGAAATATCTACCAAATGAATCATTAAAAAAGAGTCCCCTGACCACTGATGAATAAGAAAATACCAGATGATGAATACTATCACCAGCCTAACACCATATATAATATTCTCTCTTAGAGGAAATAGTCCTTTTATGTTTGGGAAAAAAAGTATCAGTGTGCCAGAGGATGATTTCAACACACTTCATGTAAACCCCAGCAGGACCAAGGGGAGGTGAGTCTGTCTGAACTCATGTTGATAGTTCAGATGGAGGTAGTTTGCCCCCCTAAAGCAAAAGCTCCCAGTTTGTGGTAGTACTTGCTTTTCCCCAATCTTCCTTTGCTGTCTGTCCCATTGTGCTTTGGATTGAAACTTTCCAGGTTCCCATCTATCTCTGTCTTTCTCCCCTTATTCCATTCAGAAATTTAAAGCCTTCCCTCATTCACAATAAACATCCTTTGAAAAAAAAAAGGAAAATGATCATTTATACTTAACTGAAATGGATCTGTACACTTCTATACACTGATCCATAACTCACTGAGTTATTTGAATTTCTTAGCCTTTTTTCCTCCTTCTATTGATGGAATTAAGAGCTTCAGTAATTTTAGGCAATACCATGCAAAATAAACATTTTTAGTTTCTAATACTGCTTTATACCTCACATTATCTATGAAGGTATTCTTTGAAAATAACTCATTAACTGGAAAAAAATTAATTTTTTATTCACATGTGTAAAGGAAGGTATGAAGTGTAAGAAACCCCCAAATCATTTTAAAGCTGGGATTAGAATAGTTGCTTTTTATTATTGGTTACTGCTTGCTGAAAACCAGTGAAATCACCATGACTCAAAATTTGCATCAATCTGAGACGAAAATACTTCCTTGGATAAGTTTTGTAATTTCTACTGAAAATTTAATTTTTCCTTATAGGTGTCATCCATACTATTCCTGGTGGCTTATTGATGTAAGATAAACCCTAACAGTAATCATCTCAAGTTTTCTTTTTTGTAGAAGCTACCCCCACATGGCATAAAGTACAAAGCAAGAATTGGGGTCCATATTCTGATAGAACTCCAGGAAAGGGAAAATATTAAATTAGGAATGTTTCCACAAATCCAAGATATAAGACAATCATAATTATGGAGATACTCAAATTATTATTAGTTGGCCTTAAGAAGAAGATTTAGATAATTTTATGTCTACTTTAAAAATCTAATAATAAAAAGAAATACAGGAAACTTGACTAAGATTTAGTTAAATTCATAGTAGGGAAACAAGAAAAATTATAATATATTTAAATAGGAAACAAAATAGTCACTTAATTTTTTATGGAGTTCTTTTTTATTTACATATATTACCATAAACAATTCCATATTTTTTTATTTTATCCTTAGTTCACATCTGACCATTATTTTTATATGAAACATTTTCATTGGTTTAATTGACAAGTAAGTCCAATTATATAGGCAAAATATTAAATATGTTCAATACATTAATAATATCATCGTAGACTATTTCTCTTCCTTTTGATTTCTTCTACCAGAACATTGTTACATCATCAATTCTTTCATAATAGCATCACTTCCTTTTGGTTCCTACTTCCAAAATTACAGTTCAAACCTTTACCACTTCATTCCTGGATTATTTTTGGCTATTCTAATTTTGTATTATTCTAATTGCTGTCAGAGGACCACTTAGATCAAAATCACATTGATCCATGTTAAGATGGAGATTATGGACCTTCTTCAGACTTACTGAGTCAGAATCTCTGGATTAAAGCTCAGGAATCTGCAATTTTAACAAGCTCCCTAGGTGTATTCTTAAGCACATTAAAGTCAAGAACCACTGTTCTAACTACTGTCTTCCTTTCTCATCTCCATATTTTCAAGAAATTGTATACAATTTCTATCAGCTTAGTCCTTCTGGCATGATGTATTTTCTCTACCTCTCTTATATAGAAAACCTTCAGTGATTCCCTATTATTTTCAGAATAAAGTCCCAATGTGTTAATAATCAAGGGCCCAACAATATGTCCAAGAACTACTTTTTGTGATTTCCACTGTTTCTGAACACTGTTTGTGAATCTTTCATGCATTCACCCTCCTTTTGAATACTCCTGGCACTCCTCTATGCCCAACTTGGAACACCCTCTACTTGTTCATCAACAACCACTCAACTCCCAAGAAACAACACTTTGTTTTTGTATTGTACCTTTCTTGATCTTTCCTCTTTATAAACTCATGTTCTTTATTGTTCATACTATTCATATGGCACTTTATCATAGATTGGCTGTGCTGCCTCTTGAATTGTCACTTAATTTTTAATGTGAGTGTGCATTGCATCATTGCTGCATCTTGATTGTGAAGTTCCTGTAAGAACATTGTGTATCCAACTATGCTTCTAGTATACCTGTAGACAATGAATAAATGTTTTTGAAATGACTAGATGAATAAAAGGATGTCTAAGTTTCTGTTGTTTTAACCAATTCTGTTGGATGATACACTAGATTGTTTTTGAATTACACATATTCTCATATGACAAAGCCAAATTCCCTTATTTTATGAGTTTATCCATCTCTGATTTTTACATACCAAAAAGCTATAGCTACATTTGTGACTACCAAAATAATCCTGAACCAGACAAAATGTCATCAACAGATGCATCAGCTACCATGGTCTAAATACTGTATGCATATCTTGTGTGCTGATTTAACTGGATTGAAAGCTTGAAGTCCTAAGCATCAATATGCTCATGTGATACCCAGGCACTCAATCATAAAGTGCCCTTTCTCAGTTGCTACTCTCAAAACTTCAATGTTATACTGGTAATTTGGGTTATATGACTACCACATTGCCACAGACACTGGATTTCCTATTGGAACCTCTTTTACCTTTGATGCTTACAATAACAACTTTCTACTTGCCTCCATATTATTTCATGGCTAAAGCACAAACTCACAATTCACAAGCAGAAGAATCCGTGGGGCAGGACTGAGTTCCACACTATTGTTTACCAAGGACTAGACAGTGAGCCAAGTGAAAGATTAGCATAGGAGTGCTGGTTGACAATAAAGATGGACTTCTGCCTGCCATAATCTAGTGTTTACCACATTAAACACTTTAAAGCAGTTAGAGGTATCTTAATGAGAACACATTGGACAATAACTGATAAATTTTTTTATCTGGTTGATCTCTTGATTAGGTCTAATATAGACTATGATGCAATGTGTGGATGTTGAAAGTTATATATGATGGCACCATTTAATATACTTATATGATCAAAACATATAGCCAATTTCTCTATTTGAATGTGCAATTGTTTTTTGTATAAATTATAATTCTTTGAAAGTGTTATAAAACTCAGTTTTGTTATCATGTAAACTTTCATTCAATATTCTTTTTCTAAAGTATAAAGGGAGGAGCCTTGGAGTTATAAAAATTTATGTTCAGATACCAATTTGCTACTACCAATGCAAGCCTGAGTTTGTTGCCTTACTCTTCTAAGCTTAATTTTTCTCGTATATAACAAAAGAAATAATTCCTACATCAAAGAATGTGAGTGGCTTATATACAAGATTTGCTTAATATTATCTGCTCCAAGTATTAGAAGCAAAATTAAAGAAAAGAAGAGCCTAGTACTTAGTAGGTGCTCAAAAATCATTTGTTGAATAAGTACAATTAACCTGATTTTCTGATAAGAAAATATTAAAGCCATTTTTTTTCTATATTTTAGTGTAACTCATCTAATATACTTGATTAAATATCTTCTGGAAAGGAAAACAACAAGAGGAAGCTGAACTGGGCCTTTTCTTTTTTCTTTCAGATGCAGAAAAGGCAGACTGCACTTAGTGATGGGAGATACATATTACAACAAACTAACAAGCACAGCATGATTGCTATGTTTGTAGTAGTCTGACAAAGGACCTCGGCCTATTACCCTGGTGAACTATGAAGACGAGGTCAGTTGATTGCATATGTTGTTCATAATCCATGCTCACATGTGTTGGAAGAGGGTCTATATTTATTGGGTTCTATATTCTCTGGCCGCTGGTGACTTTCAATCATTAAAGCAAATATGGGAAATAATAGGGATTACATCATTCATTTATTGTATAAATAATTATTGAGCACCAATTAACTGCCAGGAAATATCCGAGTCATTAGGGATACAGCAGTGAACAAAACAATCAAGACTTCTAATGTAGTGAGGGGAAAAAAACAATGCATAATAAGTATAATCCAATCATTCCAGAAATAAGATAGGGAAGGATGCTATGTGGATAATAAAAACAAGGTGCTTTAGGTTGGGTGGCCAAGTAGACCTGTCTCAGCAAGTCACTTTGACAATGAGATATGAGTGACATGGAAGAGCCAGGACTGCAGTCATCAGGTGAAAATCATTATCAAGGAAACAATTAGGTAAATGTGACAGCCTTGAAGACTGACAAGACAGCAAGCCACTGAAGGTGCAAGAAAATTAAGCCAACAATCTTATATAGAATGAAGGATATTTCCATTTTTCTCATTATTACATGGAAAGTGTTGGATGAGACAATTTTCAAGGATTATTTTCTTTCTTTCTTTCTTTTTTTTTTTTTTTTTTTCCTGGTGGTGGGGATTGAACCCAGAGCCTTGTGCATTCAAGGTAAACTCTCTACAAACTGAGCTATATCCCAGCCCTCAAGGACTATTTTCTACTAAAAAAAAAAAAAAAAAAAAAAAAGAATTCTAAAATTTCTAAGATCACAATAAGTCTTTAAGGTCTTTCTGTAGAAAAGGCCCATGGCCTTCATATCAGAAGTTGTTATAATGTTCTGTGGGTAGAAAAACTGAAAGCATCACCTTTCCATGAATGTGAGAGATCCAGGCAAACATGTTTATATTATGCCTTAATAAAACTTTCATTGGAAAGAGGAAAATGGAAGAAGTACAAATTTTCAATACATAAAAAGTAAACCTTATTTTCCATCATTGTGGTCTAGAACTTTAATTATAAATATTAGAATTTTTGTGAAAACAAATCAGGTAATTAATTTCTATATCATGAAAGATGCTAACAGAGTATGGTAAATATAATGTATTTGTTTACATTGGATATAACATGAGTATTTCTATATAGAAATTCTGGGTATGAATTGACATATGAACTCACATATACAAATCAGCTACAAAAAGAGCTTAAGTATGCTTTAAATATTTATCATTTTAAAAGAAAAATAAAGTTTAGTGAAAGAAACATGAAATGCCAATGCTAGAATCAGGAATAATAATAGCATTATAGGATGATCAGAATAGTGTCAGGATTTTTGTCATGTTTTTAAGATAATATTTCCAATAGTTAAAACCAAGCAATGATAAAAACAAACTATCAAATAATATCCATACTCAGTGTCTTCTTCTTGACTATAGATTAAGAATAGGTTCAGCTAAACAAGGTAAAATATGTATATTTCTCTACATAAATTTTGACTTGAAATTGACATTTTTATTTCCACTTGTGCAAATCAGTTATAAAATGATTTATTACTTACTAATAAATGCAAATACTACATGTTCTAGATACTGGAGTATGTTATAAATATATATATATATATATATGCATTCGTACATTATGTATTAACATATTTATACACATATATATAAAACACACTCCAGTATCTAGAGTGGAGTGACACTCTAGATGACAGGAATATTGTTACCTATATTATATATGTTTATGTATATACACATATATAATACCTATATAATATAGGTAACAATATTTCTGTCATCCTTAATTATTAATAAAAATACATTCAGTCAAGAGGATGATAAATTCTATGGAGAAAAATAAAAGAGAAAGGATATGGAGTGTGGGAGAGGGGAGTGTGCAATTTTATAAGATGTACTTAGGAAATTCCTCTCTGATGAGCTGATATTCAAACAGAGACCTGAGGGAAGCTAGGGAAAGCATATTCAGGTGGAGAGGACTGTCAGGGAAATGCACCTGAGGTAAGGCTGGACTGCAAGGAAGCCCCTTGTGGCTGGTACGAGTTGAGCAAGTGAGATCAGAGGGAGTGTGTGTGTGTGTGTGTGTGTGCGTGCGCACGCGCACACACACACACACATGTGCTGGGGGGATTTAACCCACTGAGCTATACATTCCCAACCATTCTTATTTTTATTTGAGAAAGGGCCTTACTATACTGCTGAGGCTAGCCTTGAACTTGCCTTCCTCTGGCTCCAGGGTTGCTGGGATTAAAGGTGCTCACCCCTACAGCTGACATGTTGGTGGGTTTTAAGAAGAGGAATAACATGGACTGAGTTATATCCCAGCAGGATCCCACTCTGGCTACCATGTTGAAGGTAGAGTCACAAGTGTGGAGGTGAACATGGCAGTCAGGAATTATTTTAATAAAGTGGACTCGACAACTTATTGAGGTTGCATCTTACAGAACACTGAGAATTATAAGCTTTATAGCAACTGCCTTCAATAGACCTTGGACAGGAAAAACAATTTTTCTTATTATTGAGGTTGTTTGTTTTGGGAAAGAAGACCATTTTTTTTAATCATATTTGGGTTACAGTGTAAGTAATTGGCATTGTCCTCATAGTAACCCAAATGACAATGTGCATTAAACATCTATTCATACATTTTAGTTCACTATGACTTTATGTTATTTATGACATTATGTTACATTGATTTCTGCCCTCATTTTATATGAGTTACTCTTCATAGAAAATAAGAGTAAATATTTCTCTGAAGGTAATGTTCATTACTTTATGACACATTTCTTTTTATTGTTATGAATTATATGGAATATTACTCCACATAAAAAAATAGAATTCTCTTGAATATAATCCCTTAAAAATCACCTTAGTCTAAGTATGAAACAGAATATTTACTTCTCAGAAATATTTCTGTGTAAATAATTTTGCCCATATATTTTATTCTGTCTTTAATTTCCTAGTCCCCAGAACTCTCTGTAATCAGATTTGTTATTTTTTTTCCTCTGTTCATCATCCCACACTATCCTTGATGTATAGGTAGTCAACCAAAAAGTATAATCCATTAGAAGATTTTATTCTGAGCTTTTATATTTGGATGAGCAAAGCACAATAGCAGACCTAGAAACCCTGTTTTGAAGCCTGTCTGATGCACAAAGACTGAAGGTAAATGGAAAATAATTAATACAACAAGCTCACATGCCAAGCAGAAATACTAATTGGAAATAACCACAAGAAAAAAAAAACAAGGGTGTGTATATACTCAACAGGATTACAAGAGTGAGTGACTCTACCTTTGTGACTTTTACCTGAAGTTTTCTCAGTATGAGAAATTTTTAGTTAATGCAACCAAATTCATGCTCATGCAAAACAAAACAAAGACTCAGGCATATATTGCACAATAAGATGTAGTAATCCTGGCCAAAATATGATTGCTAACTGCATTTATCAAAAGGTACACTGTAAGGAAATGAGTTTTCCCAGTGTGAAATCAATGCATTTAATAACTACAATCTGGCAAGCCAATTCCATGTAAGTATAATGCAGTTTTAAAACCTGCTAAAGAATCACTTAATCATATTATTATTTCACTATTATTTTTAACATGGATATTTTGTTTGTAATACTTTTTAAAAGATGTTGGCTATAGGTATTACTAACATTTAGTAAGTATTTTCAAAAAACATAGCATAAAGACTGTAAATATAGTTTCTTTTTGCAAAGCTATTAGACTACACAGATTGTTTCTCAAAGATGTCTTTCACTACATGTTCTCACACAGAATAGGATGAAGGTCAAAGGAGAACAACAACCAGTGTGTAAATTGAAATCTACATTAGCATCCATGACTGGCTGGCACGTTTAGGTAGAGCTTCGTCCTACTGAGACCTAACTCCTAGGCTTGGTTCTGATATGTGTCAAATAGACTCATTCTGTTTCATGCTTCCAACCTGAACTCTAACTATCACCAGCTGACTCATGGCTTAGCTGGTCTCAGTGGGAACCAGGCCAGAGATTTTTCAAGGATCAACACAAAGCTTTAACTATTTCTGGAAAAACAACTTTAAAGGATGCAATCTCCCTATGGCAGACCATTAATCACCTTCTCTGACAAATGAGGTGATTTATTACCTAACAGCTATAAGAAGTTGTGAAAAGATATTAAAATGTGAGACAAAGACCTGAGTTCCAGTCCTAATTCTAGAGTTCTGAAACTTGTGACCTAAAATATACCAACTAGACTCTAATTATTAATGTCTTCATTCATTCATTATTTCATAAAAATACTTTTCCAGCCTACCCCTGAATATTTAGTATCAAATAAGATGTGAATAGATAGTGCTTTGTGTCTTAGCTTCCAGAACTTAGTTGATGCTTTCTTAACAAATATTCACTGAATAAATTGTCAGAACTTGGAAGATAGAAGCAAACTATTTCAATGTAATTTATTTATATTAGATGAGCATTTCTAGATGTTCAAAGTGCCCAATATGTTTGAAAATATAGATCTTGCTATATAAAGATTATAACAATTTTTAAAATTGTGTAGAATAAAACATAACATCTCTTCTAAGTGCCAGAAAAATTTAGTGTAATACAAGTACGCTTATGCCAATCAAGATAACCTATCTTCTAAATTCAATCTGTTAACTGAACATTAATATAATGATACATGGTTTTATAAAATATGTAATCAGTTTTAAATTAGAAAAAAATGTGGAAAATTGGAGAAAAATATCATTAGATATAGTACCAATAAAACATTGTCATTTCCAAAAATATTATTTTCCAATATGATCTTGGAAATGGAAAGCTTTATTGTCAAGCCAATTATAGGAATACTTGTCTCTGCTTAAAATATGTATATATTGGTTTTTTTAAGGAGGCATATGTTTGTATAACAATTAAATGCCATTCAAACAATTGATTACTTAATTTAGATTACCCGGAAATCTTTCGAAAGGATACTTGA